GATGGATAGTTAGCTTTGAATCTGTACGAAAGGCCTTGCCACATTCATTACACTTGTAAGGTTTCTCTCCAGTATGAATTCTCTGATGTGTGGTAAGATTTGAATTTTGAGGAAAGGCCTTGCCACACTCATTACACTTGTAAGGTTTCTCTCCAGTATGAATTCTCCAATGTTTTGCAAGATGTGAATTTCGAGTGAAGACTTTGCCACATTCATTACACTTGTAAGGTTTCTCTCCAGTATGAATTGCCTGATGAGTAGTTAGATTTGAACTAATACTAAAGGCTTTACCACACTCATTACACTTATAAGGTTTCTCTCCAGTATGAACTCTTCGATGATTTGCAAGGCTTGAAGAATTACTGAGGACCTTGCCACATTCATCACATTTGAAAGGTTTTTCTCCAGTATGGATAACACAATGGGTAGTTAGCTTTGAATGTGTACGAAAGGCTTTGTCACACTCATTACACTTGTAAGGTTTCTCTCCAGTATGAATTCTCTGATGCGTTGCAAGATTTGAATTTTGAGTGAAGACTTTGCCACATTCATTACACTTGTAAGGTTTCTCTCCAGTATGAACTACCTGATGAGTAGTTAGATTTGAACTAATACTAAACACTTTGCCACACTCATTACACTTATAAGGTTTCTCTCCAGTATGAACTCTCCGATGATATGCAAGGCTTGAAGAATTACTGAGGACCTTGCCACATTCATCACATTTGAAAGGTTTTTCTCCAGTATGGATTATGTAATGGGTTGTTAGTTTTGAATTTGTACGAAATGCTTTGCCACACTCATTACACTTGTAAGGTTTCTCTCCAGTATGAATTCTCTGATGTGTGGTAAGATTTGAATTTTGAGTGAAGACTTTGCCACATTCATTACACTTGTAAGGTTTCTCTCCAGTATGAACTCTCTGATGATTTATAAGACTTGAAGGATAACTGAAGACCTTGCCACATTCATGACATTTATAACGTTTTTCTCCAGTATGGATTACCTGATGACTTACAAGGTGTGAAAGACAACTGAAAACCTTGCCACATTCATTACATTTGTAAGGTTTTTCCCAAGTGTTGGCTCTCTGTCCTTGTGAGAGTAATGAAGGATAGATAAAGTCATTCCCATCCTTTTTAAAAATGAGAGTTTTGACACTGGAACAAATTCCTTGAACTGGTGAAACTGAAAATCCCTTTTTCATAGACTTCTCAATTTGATTACATTCATAAACTTTCCATTCAGACTGAGACAGCTGCAGTTCAGGCAGTTGTAACGGAAAGATAAACCCACAATGAGTCTTATCAGGCATTTTTCCTGCATGCCTTCTAACATGTTGATCTCTTCTACCAGTGAGACTTTCTTTTAGGGTCATAGGCACTCCTTTGTAATTTCCTTCATAATCTCTCCACTGACATTCAATGTCATGTATATTTTTCTGGTCTTCCCTGAAGGAAAAGTCTTCAATGTCATGGCTTTCCAACATCATTCTTTGGAATACGTCTCCTGTACTCTTGTTCCCTTTTGATGGTAATTCCTCCATTACACATTTAGGAGAGATATCTACAAAATACAAAGAATCATAGGTTTCCAATTAATTATAGTATGTAAGTGAATATATCACACTGAAAAACATAGCATTACATCAAAAATACTTATATTGAACAGACTTATGAAACTTCACAACCGTAAAATTCTTTTTCAAGAAGACAGAAGGAATAGGATTCTTTAATAAACAAAAGGTGATTACATGTAATTCAAATTAATAGTAGGGAAGCCTATTTTCAAACAACCTACAGCTAAGACACTCACTTTGCACAAAGGTACGTCAGCCCTGAAAGAGAAAGGGATTTTTACACCATGAACCCAACTGGCAAACACCACATGGATATTTATTATATACAAAGAAATGTTAATACAGAATATGATATATTATTATAAGAAATAATCCACCAAAAATTCATGTAATGAGTGATTAAAGTGGCAGTTTTGAATAGCAAAACAATAATAGCACTGAACAAACAAGGAAGAACTCAATAAAACAATGTCAAAAAACATTATTTTTCTAAATACCTGTTATAAAACAATCTATAACCATACAGAGCATTTTGCGATATTAACAAGTGGTGTGTGAATGTTATATTGCATAATGCATGCTGAAAAACCATCATATGTAAATCATAATGAAAATCAATAAAACATTCTAGCAACCCATGATAAAACAAGCAGGCAAAGAATTAATAAGCCAAGTGTTTTTTGCCAGTTGAGTTCATGGTGTAAAAATCCCTTTCTCTTTCAGGGCTGACATAGCTTTGTGCAAAGTGAGTGTCTTGGCTGTAGGTTGTTTGAAAATAGGCTTCCCTACTATTAATTTGAATTACATGTAATCACCTTTTGTTTATTAAAGAATCCTATTCCTTCTGTCTTCTTGAAAAAGAATTTTACGGTTGTGAAGTTTCATAAGTCTGTTCAATATAAGTATTATTTTTGATGTAATACCATGTTTTTCAGTGTGATATGTTTGCTTATGTACTGTTATTAATTGGAAACCTATGATTCTTTATATTTTGTAGGTATCTTTCTTGAATGTGTAATGAAGGAATTACCATCAAAAGGGAACAAGAGTATAGGAGAAGTATTTCAAACAATGATGTTGGAAAGACATGAATGGAGAGTGCGGCGCTGGGAGCGCAGCGGTGCTCCTGCCATGGGTTCGGATCCTATATAGGGATGGCCGGTGCGCTCACTGACTGAGCACGGTGCGGGCGCAACACTGAGGGTTGTGATCCCGTTGCCGGTCCCCGGTACAGGCGCGACACCGAGGGTTGCCATCCCGTTACCAGTCAGTAAAAAAGACAAAAAGGAAAAAAATATATATTTACTGTATATTGATTTAGCATAGTTGTATATATTTAAGGGGAACAAAGTGATGTCATGATATATGTATATTATGTGCAAGGGTAGAATCAAGCTTATTATCATATTCATTACTTCAAAACCTTATCATTTACTCCTAAAATTTAATTGAAACTTTGTACCCATTCACCAGTATCTCCCTATTTCCCTCACCCCCAGCCTCTGGTAACCACCATTCTTTTTGCTTCTAGAAATTTTAATTGGTGTAAAGTGTACATATAAGGAGAAATCAGCCAGTCAAGGTGGCAGAATAGACAATCCCCAGAATCACTGTCTCCCAGAAATCAACCAATTTATAACTATATAAAAAAGCAACAACAGCCAAGCTGGGGCAACTAGAACTCAGGGAAAGAGGAGGAAGGACCTATGGAGTGCGTGAAGCCAGGAGAAGCCAGGATGAGAGAAAAAAACTGCTCTGAACATTTCATGCTGTGGCTGTTTTAAGGCTGGAAATGCTGAGCACATGGAGCAGGAGCCAGAAAAAGCTGCAGCTGTCCTCTTCAAATGGAGTTGCTTGGAGGCAGCAGGGGAGAGGAGGGCCTTGGTGACCCCCAGGACAGCAAGACCACTAATAGTGTTCGCATGAACCCACATAGGAGTGAGGACCACAACAACTGAAAAAAAGAAGTCACTCAGAGACCAGTGAGTCATCACAAGGGACTGGTGCATGCCAGTCCTATGGGAAGTGTTTGCAGCATGGGCAGTGGGAGAGGCTGGCCCACTAGGGGAACACTGGGACACAGCAAGGACAGCTGATCTGCACCCCTATCGGCACAAGACCACTCAGAGGAGGCTGGTCAGGAATATAGAATTGCATGGGGTGCAGTTTGATGAAAAGATTCAGGCCCAGATCAGAGTTGCTACAAAATCCAAGTGCACCAAGTCTCTGGAGAGCCAGAAGTACCTATATAAAGTCAACCATTATAACCTGTATGCACAAAAACCCTTCCCTAGGTAAGCAACAGCAAAGCAGCAATTTAGTTCAACCACAGAACTCAAGTACTGGTCCCCACAGGATGTCCGCCCATTTTAAAAGTAAGCAAAGGACAAAAAACATTAGTTCCAGCTCAGACACACAATTAGCACCTCAGGTCTGCCCAGAGACATGCGGTATGGACCCGGGACCGGACCTGTCCTCCCACAACCAGGTACACAATGCCAGCGCCTCAGGAGCCACCTGGGGACCTGAGGTATGGAGCCAGGAACCAGACCTCCCCCACAACCAGGCACACCACCAGTGCCAGGAGCATGCCAAAAACATTACTTCCATGTGGGTGGCCTACCACAGCCACCACAATAACCATAGCTGCCTTGAAAGCAGCTAGATGCCACAACCATCATGCAGATGGTCTGCTAGCCACTGGAGTACATGGACACAAGGAGAGTCAGCAGCAGAGATAAAGAAAAAAAGTGGATTACTCTCCCCACGAAGCCTATTCCAGAGTGACAGAAGAAGCATCTGCTCTATAATATTGGGGGACCTGTTCACACCTCTCGGCATTGATCAGATCATCTAGGCAACAGATCAACAGATTAACCATTACTCTTTCAGAAGGAGAGAAGAAATCTAGGGAAATTAGAGGGGGGAGGGTGGAAGCGGATGGGGTGAGATTGGACAAGGGGCATAAAGAATAAGTACTAGTTGTAACAATATATATGCTAGTAATATTGAGTTGGTCAACAAATCTTAACATTGAATCCCAAATATATGTATAATCAATTTAGATCAATAAAAATTAAAAATAAATAAATAAAGTGTACATGTAAAGGAGAACATGCAGTACTTATATTTCGGTGCCTCAATTATTTCACTTAGGAAAGTTCATCTATGTTAAATGTTGGTTCATCCATGTTGCATCCACAATCTTCTTTTGAGAGCTAAATAAAACTCCATTCTGAATATATACCACATTTCCTTATCCATTCATCCATTATGAACACGTTGGTTGATTTGTTGTGGGGCAAACACACAGAGGAATCCAAGACCGGCGTCAGTGTTGTAGTTTTATAGCTCTTTATTTTAGTGTTGCAGCTCTTTGTTCAGTGTTACAGCGCCTCTTTTTGCTTGCAAGCAAGGAGAACACTGGGGAGCAAGAACTAAACCAGTGTCTCCCAGAACAAAGGGAATGACCCCCTTATATTGTCTAAATTCCTACCCTTCTCCCTCCCAGGTTCTCATTCAAGTCCTCTTATGTAAATGAGGGATGCTGTCCTGCTAATTTGGATTGGCTGATTATGGGACACAGTCCGTTGGTCACTTTAGGAGCCTCACTTGCCTCTGGCCACTGGGGGAGGTGAGACTGCTGTTATCTCATAGAGGGCGCTGTCCTGCTAATTTGGATTGGCTGATTATGGGACACAGTCCATTGGTCACTTTAGGAGCCTCACTTGCCTCTGGCCACTGGGGGAGGTGAGACTGCTGTTATCTCATAGAGGGCAGGCCCAAGAAGCAAGTAGGGTAAATGGCAGGGGCCAGAGTTGGCAGTGGAGCACAGAGTTTCTAAAACAGTTTCTCAAGTGGAAAAGGGAAAGGTTTAACAATTAAAAATGCTTAGGGTTCCCTGCAACAGATTCTATAACTTGCTTGTTGTGAAAAATGCTGCAGTGAACACAGAGTGCACATATCTCTTGGACATACTAATTGGAGATCCTTTGGAGATATGCCCAGAAGTAGGATTGCTACATCATATAATAATTCAGCGTTTTAGTTATACAGTTTTCCATAATGGCTGTAGTAATTTACATTCTCACAAACTGTACAAGGCTTCCCTTTTCTCCAAATCGTCCCTAACTCTTATCTTTTGTCTTTCTGACAATAGCCATTCTGACAGATCTTCAGTGTTATCTCATTGTGGTTTAAATTTGCATTTCTGTAATTAGTGATGTTGAGCTTTTTAAAATTTGTCTGTTTGCCATTTCTACATCTTCTTTCAAGAAATGTCTATTGAGGTCCTTTGCTCATTTTCAAATCGGGTTATTTATTTTCATGCTATTGAGTTGTTTCAGTTTCTTATACTTTTAACATATTAATCCACTGTAAAATGTAAAATGTGCACGTTTTCTCCCAGCCTATAGGTTGTGTCTTCCGTCTGTTGTTTCCTTTTCTGTGCAGAAGCATTTTCATTTCATGCAATAACATTTGTCTGCTTTTGCTTTTGTTGGCTGAGCTTTTGGAGTCAAATTCAAAAAAATCATTGCTTGGATCAATGGCATTTAGTTTTCCCACTTTCATTTAGTAGTTTTATGAGTTCAGGTCTTATGTTTCAGTCTTTAATCCATTTTCAGTTAATTTTTATATATAATATAAGGGTCCAATATCATTTTTTCTGCATTTGAATATCCTGTGTATCCAGCACCATTTATTGAAGAGACTGTCCTTTTTCGAGCTATCAGACTTGTCAGAAATAAATGTCCATGGTTTAAGCCTCCTAATCTATGGTATTTTTTTATGGCAGGATGAATTGACTAAGACAGGCAAAGGACTGTCTTTTCATAAACA